GGCCGCCAGCACGGCGCGGAGGTGGGCTCGCTGCGGCGGCGCACGAAAGGTCACCGCGGTGGCATTCCTGCCGGCGCGCTGTTTACGCGACTTAATGTACTTCATACGCAGCGGGTAAGTTAGGGCCGCGATAAGGGGGCGGCCGGGGGAGGGTCGCTGTGAAAGCCCCACGCTGGGCGCCTCTAGCCCTCCCCGCATCCATTAACCTTTTTACTTTCTTCTTGCCTCTCTCTTAAAGTTTGTTATCTAGGCCACCCAATGACCGACGAAAGATTTTCCCTCCCTGCTTCTCCCATGGCCGCTTTAAACCAAATAAATTTAGCTATTAAGGACCAAGATGTCCAACAAAAGATCGAAAGGGGTCTTTCCGTGATCGCTTAAAGAAGCGAAGGAGAAGCTTGCGGCTCTCAAATCCCGATAAAGAAATTCCACACCGGCGCCGTCTCCGTCCCGGCGGCCTGGTTGTGCCCTGACACCCTGCGATCCCGACTTCAGCGGCCGCAGATCTCGGATGGGCCCGGCGGGACCTGTGGCCGCTGCCCCGGGAATGTGGGGGTTCCCGGGCTGCGGGACCTGGGAGTGCCAGGCCTGGGGGACGGGGAGGACGCTGGGGTCCCCGGGAGCTGTGCAACTCGGGCTCAGAGCTGGGGGTCCAAAAGGGCTCCTTGCACTTGGCAGAAAAATGAAACCGAGCTCAGCGGGGCCTAAATTACCATCCCATTTTGATTATTTTCTGGTATTAAATAATAAAGACAAACCCAAACTACCCCTGCGGACTCGCCCCCACACCCTGCGGTTTTGCTAAGGGGCAGTGTGTTGCTCCACATCGCTGATCGTCCAGAGGAGACCTCCCTTTGAACCCCAGACAGAACGTGGTGGGTGGAACTGGGCAGCTGGATTAGACAGGTTGACCGGGAGGGTGTGGACTCGCAGACTAACAGCGTGCAGGTGGGAGGCAGGGGTCCAATCATTCAGTCATCCTCAGGTTGGGTTTGGTTATGAAGTGTGGTATTTATTATTATTAATTACTACTGGCATCATTACATAAAGCCCAGGGCTGCCAGCTGGGCCAAGACCCTGCCCCTGGAGTGATCCCTTCCCATTCACCAAAGGGTGAAGGAGGGAATATCTAGTTTCCTGATCCAGGACTCTAAAGTGGGCTTGGGGAGTCAGATGCGGATGTTTTTGATGTTTTTCTCCTCCTCTTAAGTAGATGAAGTATTACCCCATACCCCAGACCATCATAAGCCTTTTCTCCCACTTTGTAATGGGACAGGAGAAGCAGCCTGGGGTGGGGGGTGGGGAAGAGATGACACCCCTTCGGCTTCCCTGCAGTGGGGCCTCTTCCCACATCTTCTGCCTTCCCCAGTCTGTTCTCTGGCAGATGTTGGAGTTAGGACTCTCAATTCCAAAAGGCAATCCAGGATCTTCTGTCTGTCACCTCATTCTGGGCTAGGAAGTTAAAGACGCCTCTCTTTTCTTGTCATCCCCTTGAAATAAGGTGAACTCCAAAATTATCTACTTTAGATAATCCTTAGCCCTGACCTAGCCTCTGGGAATGGGAAAAATCAGAGCATCAGAGGAAAAGGGATCATTTCTGCTCCCAAGAAGGTGAAAGAGATGCAGAAATTTCCAACACACTAGACAGGCAGGACCTGGGATCGTCCTGGATTTCGTGGGTACAACTAGGTGTGCTGAACTTGCCAGTTCTAGGGTCAGAGGCCAGAAACAACTGCCCCAGAATTGTCTCAGTTCAGAGACCTTCCTAAATGTTGGGCAGTTGTTTTTTGGAAGGGTGGGGCAGGGATTGCTAAAGGGAAGCAGAAAAAAGAAGGAAATAGGCTTTGAGAGATTTGCTAAGTTATGAAAGCCCCTCCTAAAGTCAATTAAAAGGGAAAAAAGTGCCCAAGGGGGAAAAACAAAATTACTGTATTTGCCACCCAGAAATATGGGTGACCTCTCCATTCAGCTATGTTGCAAATATGCAGAGAACTAAGACCGAAGGGTTGTCTGCCATATGCGTTTCCTGCCACTTACCCAACACTCACTGAGTGTGCACTGCATGAAGAAGAGTTAGCTCCCAGTTTTGAAGTGTTTACCGTCTAGAAGATTGGCACCTCTGTAAAGCCTGTTAAGCAAAGTCTCACAGACAACTTCCAAGATGGAAGGAGATGAGGGACTCTTTTTTCTTTGTCTAGAAATGTACCCAAGTTCCTATTGTCCTCTAGGCGCCTGTTAAGCAAAGTCTCACAGACAACTTCCAAGATGGAAGGAGATGAGGGACTCTTTTTTTCTTTGTCTAGAAATGTACCCAAGTTCCTATTGTCCTCTAGGCTTCAGTGGGTTTGGGAAGAAGGGAGTCATTCTAGCTCGAACACTGAAAGGATTTCTAGGAGCCACTGGGCCAGCACAGGACACTGAGCCAGACTGCCTGGGTTTGAGTCTTGACGCCACTACTTACCAGCTATGTGACCAGGGCAAGTTTCCTAACCCCTCTGTGCCAGTTTCCTCATCTGTAAAATGGAGATAATACAAGTACCTCCCTCATGGGATTGTTGAGAGGATTCAAAGATTTCTTATATGTAAAGTGCTAGTAGTACATCAAAAGCACTATATAAGTGGTGAACTGCTGTTACTAATATCTATATTGTAACACTCACATATACTACACGAAATTTTAATTTCTCGCATGACCCAACTGTTCCTGAAGCTAAGTTAATTCCCAAGAAAGAACTTCTTTGAGCACCCATTCAACTTTGGGACTTGCCATTCACCAGAAGTCTCGAGCCTTTTGCCTGTACCCACAGTGAGGACTTTATTGCATTATGGTAGGAAAGGGGTGAGGAGTGAGACAAACATGGGTCCTTTACTTGCTTTGAAGAGGAAACATCCCTTGTTGTTCCCCTTGCAAATGCCAGCAGCAGACTCCAAGGCCTTCTCCAGGACATAGATAGTAATCTTGTGGCTCCTCTGCTCCAACGAAAGAACCCAGTCCTCAGCAGCACCTCTCCCTGGGAACTTCTTTCTGGCAGTAGATAGGAGTGAATTAACAGATGGGC